CCGGCAGGCAACTGCATTCTCATGAGACTCTTGCTGGGTACTACTTACTACTACTACTACGGAGTATTTGAATTTCTTGGATTACTGCCTTTCTTTCTGGAGCTGCCTCCTGCCCCAACTGGAATCTTTGAGCTACATAAGAGTCTAGTCTCATTCTGTGGTTCTCAGCGTGGTACCGTCCCATCTGGACATTCCGTGCCTTGCTGCGCTAATTTTCCCTTTTTATTTTATTTTTTCTTCTCATTTCCCCCCCCCCCTCCCCTTCCCCTTCCTCGCCCGCCCACTTTCAAGTCAGTTTCGTCACTTTTCAGGGAGACCGTCGCCTCAGGCCACCACCGGTCACCGGGGGCCACCACACCTCTTTTTTTTGCCGTCTTCCTCGCCCCCTCCTCTTCCTCTCTCAATTCCCTTCCACCCTCTAAACCTCTTCAATAACAATCTTTTGGAGCCTCTTCAGCTTCGTGCTGTAGGCGTTTATTCTCCTACCTTGTCACGGGGGCAACCTTTGTCACTCTCGTCCTCCGTGTACATTACAATTAGTTACCGCACATGACTCCACAATCAGCTTCACCTGTACCTTCCGCAGTCTCCTCCGCCGCAGCGTCACAGATATCGTACGATCCTCGAGATGGAGAGCCCTCGGTAACACGCGCTCTTGCGGGCATGAATCTGTCCGCAGCGAACGGGGATGTTCTCCCCACGCCCCCTCCGCCTGCGAAAACTGCCAGGCCGACCATGGCAAATCGCATCTCTCGTATGTTTTCCAACACAGGGAAGACAACTTCAAAGGAGCCGGATACCCATCGTGACTTTTCAGACAGCAGCACAGACAGCGTAAAGCCACCTAGCAATGGTAGCGGGAGGCAGTCTAAGCCTACTTCTAGGCCTTCTTCTAGAGCTCCATCGCGACAGACTTCTACGAAGGAGGACAACGAGAGAAAGCCAAAGTCTAGCAGTGGAAAGGATCAAAAAGACTCATCGGCAGCAGCACACAAACGGTTTGAAGCATTGCCAGACCACACCCACTGCCATCACCTTAAGAGTACACGGCGGCAGGAGAAATTGACAGACCTTCTCCGCGACATGCTTGGCGGCGGCAGGAAGAAAGACGATCATGTCGAGGATCAGCAGCTATCACTCATGTCGACATGGATTGACCAGTTCAAGAATGAACGTGACAAATTAGCCGCAGATAAAAAGGGTGGCCCCAACGCCACAGCTTCGTTAGTCGATAAATATGGTAAATGCCAGGAGATCGTCGGACGGGGCGCATTCGGCATCGTTCGAATCTCTCACAAAGTCGATCCCAAAGATTCCAGGGTCGAACAACTATATGCTGTTAAAGAATTTCGCCGTCGTCCTCAAGAGACCACCAAGAAATACCAGAAACGCCTGACCTCCGAGTTCTGTATATCCTCGTCACTTCGCCATCCGAATGTCATCCACACCCTTGACCTCTTGCAGGATGCTAAGGGCGATTATTGCGAAGTAATGGAATATTGTGCCGGTGGCGATCTCTACACCCTTGTGCTGGCCGCAGGAAAACTGGAAGTTGCCGAGGCCGATTGCTTCTTCAAGCAGCTCATGCGCGGTGTTGAATACATGCACGAAATGGGCGTGGCCCATCGTGATCTTAAGCCAGAAAATCTGTTGTTGACTACTCATGGTGCGCTCAAAATTACGGACTTCGGAAATGGGGAGTGTTTCCGCATGGCTTGGGAAAAGGAAGCGCACATGACAGCAGGACTTTGCGGCTCCGCTCCATATATAGCTCCTGAAGAATATATCGAAAGGGAATTTGATCCGAGGGCAGTCGATCTATGGGCCACTGGTGTAATCTATATGGCAATGAGGACAGGGCGTCATCTATGGAGGGTAGCCCGCAAAGACGAAGATGAATTCTATCAGCGATACTTGGAAGGTCGAAAGCATGAAGATGGTTACGCTCCCATCGAGACTCTGCATCGGGTAAGAGCTGATAACAGTCTATTTGGTGCGTCTAAGCTTACTGATGACTCGCAGGCTCGTTGTCGGAACGTGATTTATTCCATCCTTGATCCAAACCCTTCTCGTCGTATCAACGCCTCGCAGGTCCTCAAATCCGAATGGGTTCGCGAGATCAAATTGTGCAAGGCTGGCGAGGAGGGATTCTGATCTAGTCAGTGTGTCTTGTCCTTGAGGCTTTGGTTTTCGCAGATAGTGTATCCCTAGGGGGCAGAGCCTGGGCGGATTTTGAACATTGGTCCGGACTCTGTTCCTCTCGTGGTAGTCTGCCTCTGTATGCCTAGTTTTGTGATAAAACCGGGTGGCTCATTTGTTTATCCCAATTCATTGGGGTTTTAGACCTTCTTCACCTGTTCCATAAAAAGGAGGTCCTTTTGCTTTCTATACCGGCGCATGTCCTCCCTGCCTGCTAGCTTAAAGGCTTAGTTTGTTTTTATGTTTTCACGCTAATGCAACGAAGAGTCATGACCTTGCGCTCCTTCTCTTTCCTTCTTTCCTTCGTCTTTGTCTTTGCATTTGTTAATCAGATATGTTGTATCTCCATCATTCTACTTATCCCGGCATGCAGAGTTCAACGACAGTCTTTCACCCTTTCTATATCTGGGTTCTTGGCTGACAGATAAGTTGATGTTACTGACCTACTAGCTCATTCAATTAGGTCACTATGGAGCTGAGGGCACGTTTAGTTTCCCGGTTGGGTTACGCTTATTCTGCAATTTATCAATCAAATTGTTTATACAAGGGCGTTTCATATTTGGTCAGTTATAGCGAACTGCATATCTGTGGGACTGTCTCATTTTGTACTCGGGGTTTGGGCTCTTATTATTTGGATACCCTTTGACACTGCTTGTTTCAATGCGATTCTTATCAGAAATTCTACAACTTGATGTATCTTTGCTGGTCATAAACAAGGCCAGCTACTCTCTCCCTCTCCCTCCCCTTTTAGTTGCATATATTATAATGAATACTGTTGTGATTCCACGAGAGTTCAAGGGGATGATTGGGGGAACATGGGCTTTCAGTGGAGCGGCCTCGTTTGCCTGTGAAACTAATGCTTGTGTCGTCTCCCATCATGTGATGCCTTATGTCTTCTTGCCTTAAACTGCAGGACAGAGGCATAGCGAGGTCTAGTATTTACCAAAGCATCATTGTCGGCTAGAAATGCCAATTCAGTTGCTATTCTATCGCCAGAATCGAAAAGTCTGGATGGCATCGGCCTAGTAAAACACTTCAATACCTACATTCCTAATATCAACATTTACTATCCTTGACTTGGTTCGGTGAGCTTTTCAGCTATGCTCTTTTAGTAAAACCATCACTCACACGGTAGTTCTTCCTCATGCAAGGCAATACGCCCTTTCTTTTTCTTTTTTTTTTTTTTTCTCTACTCTTCTTGTGGGGAAATTCTCTGCGACAGTTGCGATGTGTATGTACATGTCTTAGCAGTGAAACTATGTCTTCCCTAAGCTAGCTTCATAGACACAATTACGTATTCGCTTTTTCATTTTGTTCTTTCTTTCTTCCGTACTGAGTGACCATGAACGATATATATTGATGTTATTGTATCCGTATATTCATTTAAGTACCCCGTCTCCTAGCTGGAATATAAACCGGTAGATTCAAAAGCCCCAAAAACGTACAACTTCTATAGCTAGTTGAATAGTTGCAGTCACAGTTATGCACCTCTAACTACACTCCTACAAATGACGGCACCAAGAAGTCACTAGTATCTACAATTTTGGAGTACCCGGAATACATTCCTCAGAGCAAGAGCCCTCACCCCGTCCGTTTCACAAACCGCCATTGTAGCTTCTGCCTAGTACTCTGACCTAATTCGCGCAAGGTTATCAGCGTCTAGTGAGAGACTACTCAATAAGAATGTAGGGAGTACTCCGTACCATGCATGACTTTCTTGTCGTGTGAACTGGTCTTTCTTGGCGCCTAGTCCTTTTTGCTTTTTTCTTGCATTGGAATTTCTTGGCATCATGTCCTCATGTATGTGGTTATGCTCGTGTGGTGGTAGCAGGCAGCATAATTCTCAGGGATCCCAGGATCCACATAGGAAGGGCGTGGTCAAAATGTGGAATGGTTACAATGTGGGAACCAAATACCAGTACTCCGTAGTATTTCCATTGGGCTAGACTCAAATGACTCGTTTGGTCCGGAAGACCATTTCAACTTGCAGATCCATCTTACCTTCGGCTTAACCGCTCATTTAGGGCTTAGTCAAAGTGTGGTGCTTTTTGAACGCAGTAGTAGTCGTATAAGCTTTACTTGGTGTAGGGCTCTTAACTAGACTTATCTTCTGTCATTCTCATCCCTGAGTGTACAATCCTGATGGATAGGTATCATACTTATACTCAATATGTCACAACCAAAGCCTAGGTTCACAGTGTGAATTGTTCCAATGAGTATGTGGTTGCGGAACGGGCCATTTTAGGAGAAATGAGAAGTTTCTCTGAAGTCGTGCAGGATCTGGAGGAAACTCTGATTAACATGGAGGGCATACAGGACACCCATATTCACACTCGTCACTGGGTAGAGTACGGCCTTTTAGAAGATGTCGCTCTTACGGGTACTACTCCGTCAGATCGAATTGACATCACCATCCTCATCTCATGTATTGGATCCAAGTTCAATACATGACGTAAGAGGAGACGATTGATGGGGATTTATTACCGTATTGTATAAGACTGAGTATAATTACCTGTACAATACTGTTCTTCTATAAGGCTGGAGAAGACGTATGAATGCACATACATACACAGCCACACATAGCCACATTAGAGGGATCCCGAAGTCCCGCATTACCAGCCCTGTGACAGTCACCTGTCTTTCGAACATTCAACTATCGTCAACTAACACCCCGCCAGACAATCCGAGCATTCTCTCGTTGCCTACATTACCTGCACATATTCTATCAAAATCCTCACCGCCATCACTTGTTTCATTGCCTGCAGTAGTACTCAGTCGGTTCTGCCTGCTTAGCCGTCATCATGTCCTGGGCAGGTGCGCAAAGCTTCCTGGGTTCCTTATCTCTACATATGTCAGGTTAAGTGCTGATATGCAGTCTGTGAATCTTAGGGTTCAAGAAGAATGTTAACCGTGCTACTACCCAAGTCATGATGAAGACGGGTATGTACATTATTATATAGCCACGCGGCTCGAGACTACCAAGTGACAGTTGTTGTGAGCAGTAGTCAGTTGCTGATATAGTATAACCTTTACAGGTCATGTGGAGAGGACAAACGACCGTGACTATGAAATTGAAGAACGGTAATGGCATCAAGAGATCTGGCATAAGCTAAGCCAGTCACTGATGGAATCCAATAGGCGATACCGGACCATGGAGGCCGCTGCCAACCGTCTACAAAAGGAAGCTAAAGGCTATCTAGATTCATTACGAGGTGGGATTTATTACTCATTTAAATGGAGCGAAATGCTAAGTCCTTGGTTGTGACAGCAATGACTGCCTCCCAGATGCGTATTGCGGAGACAATCGATGCCTTCTACGGTGATGCTGGAACGCGCGATGGTGTGAGCAGGAGCTACAAACAAGCTGTGGAAGATCTTGATGCCGAGACGATAAAAGCCTTGGATGGGCCATACAGGTGTGTGACATCCTACTATTGGAAATTCCATAGCTGCCGCTAACTGGTGTATTAGAACTACCGTTCTTGAACCGATCTCGCGCTTTTGCGCTTACTTCCCTGACATCAATGAGTGCATCAAGAAACGCAATCACAAGCTACTCGACTACGATTCTATGCGAGCCAAGGTGAAGAAGTTGGTCGAAAAGCCAGACAAGGACGCTACCAAGCTTCCCAGGGCGGAGCGCGAAACGGAAATTGCTAAGCAAGCATATGAACAGTTGAATGAACAACTTTTCACCGAACTCCCGCAACTTATCGACCTGCGTGTACCTTATCTGGATCCTAGCTTTGAAGCTTTGGTCAAGATCCAACTGCGTTTTTGTGCAGAGGCATACTCTCGCATGGCACAAGTGCAACAATACCTTGACGCGGAAACAAGAGACCAGTATGCTCGGGGCGACTTGGATAACAGGGTAGAAGAAGTGCTGCAGGAGATTCGTGATTTGAGTATAGCGGGGACTGTTTGATTTTTGAAATTGGTTGTATCATTGCTGGCCTGTTTGCCATTTGCTCTACAGAACTAACTAATGCTGTCGAGGCTTGCCTCCGGGTCTATTATCTCGCTCGTCCAAGGGTCTCTAGGACTAGGAGTCATTATATATTATGTCAAAATTTCTTGTCTAGTGGGATAAGAGAGGCAGAGTAGCCAAAAGCAGATACGCCCAAGTCCCAATGATAATGGCTCCGAATTTTGGAATGTTGCGGCATATGGACAAACAAACAAGTCTTTTCAGTGAATTTTCAGACATCGCTGGCGCAATTTGTGTCTTCATGTACTATTTTCTTGGGTATCTGTCTATGTGGTTCTATTTATCTGTACAGTATTTTAGCCTCATCGGTTGCTGTATAGCTCACCGCAGTTATTCGCGAATATCACAGCGCGCTACCATCACGGTATATTTCATCTGCTAAGATGTCCAATACCGGTCCAGCTGCTGCACGTACTGCAGCCAGCTCAGTGTCGTTCATTTCCATGAGAACATAGTCTGCAACATCGCCTCGATTTCGGGTGGATGGACGACCAATCCCGACCCCTACTCGCAATACAGAAAGGTCTTCATGCGAACGAGTTTCGCCAGGACTTGTACGCGGTGGGTGCAAGCCTTTTCCCCGTAGACTCTCCATGATGCTGGTCAGACCTCGATGGCCGCGCAAGCTGGCCTTTTCAGGCCCACCCCGTTTTACTCTGACTTTTCCCAAGGGCGCTTCCAGTTCATCGTGGAGGATCACCAGGGTGGGGGCTAAGAATCTCAGCGACTGAGGGTCAGTGCCACGACGTTGCCATTCGGGGTTCTCAGGATCTGCGACCTCAGTTGTCTTAGAGAGCGCCACATTTCCCTGCATGATCACCTTTCCCAATATCTCGGTCTGTGTTGTTGATATCCAGTTCTTCAGCTGTCGGACAAGCTTCGGACCCGACTCATTCATGTACGATGGGCTATACCATGTTCGATAAAACAAGGGCCCAGCAGATAGTTGGTGTTTGGCGGAAACCAAGGGAAACCTGTTGGGTAAAAGAGGTATTAAGGCATCGAGGAGGATATGTCCGGCGCTGTGACGAGTTTGGCGGTAGGGACGGGGATTTCCAATTGACGCGATAAAGAGAAACCGGCGCGGAGTCTTCACTAGAGATATGTGGGTTGCCATCGAATATGGTATGTTTTGTTGGAACTGTGATAAGATATGGATGGATATGGCCCTTTTGTGTCTTTCATTAAAATGTGTTTGTTGGGCGTTGGTCTTTCTAGGGTCTAATGTGAGGAGCTATGTTTGAAAGGACTAAGCGTCGTTTTATGACTCTGTTAGGAGTACAGAACCAGTACAGCATCAGAGTAGGTAGATATACAAGTGAATAGGAAAAATGCCGTGGTTTGTTGATAGGCAAATAGTAATAGGGCAGGGATTTGTTCAGGTTGCAACGGGAGATCGTCCCTAGATGGTTAATTATACTCTTGTATTTTTCATCCGGTTGGCTTCTTATCGTTACTCATCCATGTACGGGCTACTACTAGTATTGCGGGCCACTCTGCAACAACGGCTCTCCAAGTCCATTCACCGCCTAGTAATATACTGTATCGCTATCTCTTTAAATATAAGATCATTTTATAAAAGGGCTTGAAATATATATATTTTATATATTTCTTTATATAAATTACTATATTAAATACTGTTTCTAGTAAAATCTAGGTAGAAGTACTAAATATAAGAATATAAGTATAATACCAATATACAATATATATAGTCTACTCTAAAATAGTTCCCGCTATCTCACCGCCTTTTTACTAAGCTCAATTTAGGGGCTACCTACAGTATAACGTAACCGGTAAGCAATCCGGTAGTGTAAGCAACCCGGTAGACCCTGTATTCCATATAAAATGGCATATTTTTAAATGTCAATAGCTTAATAAGGCTATATTCTATATACTTTGCAATTTGATACAGTATTAGTATAGATATCTTTTATATATATCTTGAATATCTGTAGAAATAAAATTCTAGAAATATAAATTACAGCTATATAAATAAAATACTATAAAATACATAGTAATTTATATTACTCTGGTAATTAAAGATTATTAGAATCTATAAATTAAATAGCTTATTCTTATAGTATATAATAGACTATAAATAAAATTAAAAATACACAGAATATAATCTTGTTGAGATATTGGCATTTAAAAATATGCCATTTTATATGGAATACAGGGTCTACCGGGTTGCTTACCGGCTACGTTATAGACTGTAGTATCTAGATTTAGGGGCCAAAGTATACAGACTTTAGGGGCGGTGGTGCCTAGGTTTGGGGACTAGTGTATTTAAATTTAATTCTAATTCTATATCTAGCAATACAACCGATTATATATAAAATATACAGCTATTTTTTTTAGTAATCTTTATATTTAAAAGCAAGATTTTATAGACAAATGTACAAAATACATATATTTCTTAGTATTTATACTAATTTCTCATGTATAAATACAGAAATATTAAATACCCGGAATGAAAACAGGAATTCTGCTGGCAGAAATCGATGAGAACCCGTTGTTGCGGAGTGGTCGCAATAGTACGCCGTATCCATGTATTGAAATAAGATACAGTACGGTATTTGACGTATTGAATCTTTCGGTCGTTGCGTTGTGTCACTTGTATTCTGTTTTCTTGGTCATTATGTAATAGACCCACATACAGGAACAATGAGTCTTGGTTTTCAAACATCGAATGCAAGTTATGCAACCATAGATTTTGGACTTCGTCTCCAAGAGATCCAAGTCTGAGCCAACATACTCTGGTTGGAATGACGACTACTATGCAGGTTGAGTGCGGCGCGTCCGAATGCTGCAGTGGCTATTTGGGAATGGCTCATATTGTACCCCGTCTATCAACCGGAGGTGAAGCAAAACAAGGCAACCGTTGGCTGGATCGCGAATTATATTACGCATAGTTCTCTACATTATAGGGCCTTTGCTGTCTACAGTTAAGCATGAGAATGATACTGGCAAGCATTGGCAATATGCAAGAACCGACCTAGTCGTGTCAGTAGCTAGATCCTTCTCGTTTTTTGCCTTGTCGTACTAGGACGTGTAGTCTGTCTAGCAAGGCTGAAAACCCTATCTATATTTTTCAGTCAGGTTACGCTCAAATAGCATATTGAATATTATGGCATGCACCCCACTGAGTAACCAAGTCTATGGGACCTGGTATGATACTGTCAGGGCATTGGCATTTCTCTTCACTACTAGTGTTGCTTGATCTTGTGTCGGCTACAAACATCCACACATACTGACCTCCTTCCCTGCACAATGTGTCCGGAAACGAGCTCCGTCATGTCATCAAATAAAATAGCTACCCCGCCCGAGCATTGCGTTACTGGAAGTCAAGAAGGACGAGAATTAACAGGCAAGAGTGCATCCGTCGGTGTGAGATAAAGCTATAGAGCAACTGTGGAGACCGAATCTGACAAAGACTCTAACGGAGATATTTCAATATTGGCACACTCTAAGCCGGGCTCGATTAGAGCTGATCACGGCAGGCGATCTACCAAGTCCCTCAATGAACGGGATATAGACTTCGTAGTGGAGAATAGACGATACTATAATGCAACTTAATCCAGGCCTAAGGACGAAGCCGAGAAAACCTGTTTAAATATCGTCCATCAGACGTATCTCCTTATCTCTGACGGTAATCCAACCTGGCCTCTTCACCAAGGAAACGCCATGGTCTCGAGATTGGACCCGGTGACTGGGTGATTGAATTGAGGGCTTTACCTATATCCCAATGCCACATTCATTGCTTCCTACATTGGTATGTTTGGTCAGAGTCTCGTGAATCCTGATATCCCGAACATCTCCTATGAACAAGCGTTCACACAACTTGCACTGAAGGGGTCAATCACACAGCAGGGTTTGTGCATATTCGTACCCTGGAACGCCGACGCCAATCGGCCTCTCGTCAAAAGACGTTAGGCAAAATGGCCCTGATCGCTGCCTTGGGGGAGGTGGAGCTTTATAATCCGAGGAGCTCTGCTTGATTATGGGACCCTAATTTATCAAAGGGGTCATGCAGTGAAATAGTAACAGCTCATATTTTTGTGTTTCTTCCTTTCTAATGTGTCAACATAGATGGCCAGTTGGCCGCAAATAAACCGTACAATCGTAGATGAAATGTCACATCAAAATCATTACATTTACACTCATGTGGTATTTTCTTTTCTCTTCGCACTCAACTCCCATCCTTTTGTCAGTTCCGTACTTCTTCCGTTTCGTAGAGCTTCCAGGCTACATACCCAATCTTGGCAGTACCTACTGTGTACTGACAAAAATAAAAGCCACAAGCAAGTTTTTAGACTGAACGGTCACCGAAAAGAACACCTTGAAGAATTGCCTCGCCTTCATCTTGACGCCAGTGACCTGTATCTGTCAACTGTTGTTTCCACATAATCTGATCTCTCTCGGTGAGGTCCTCCCAGCGGCGAAGACCCTCGTCAGGTGCATTATGATATGCCCTGTTCATAGACTCTATGAGGATCTCGTCCGTATCACGGTTGCGACGAACAATAATGGAGGTATGTGATAGAGAGGCAGCGGAAGGGGATGGGTCGTTTGCTGCAAGATCGGTATCGAGGATTGAATCAATCGCATCTGCTGCCTGACATGCATGAAGGAGATCACGTAGGGAGCGGTGATGTAGGGTGGGAACTGGTGACGAAAGTGTTGAGTGCATTGGCATAATGACTGATGGCGCTGCTAAAGGATGTGGCGCAGGTTGATGATATGGATGCGCGACGGCGACACGAATATCGGGGGGGAGCCATTCGGTGGCTCCGAGATACGGAGGCATAACACCCCTGATCTCGGTGAAAGCCTGAAGGAGGAAGCAGACAATGAAGATAGATAACAGAGCAGTCAGCCCACTGGCGAAGTTAGCCCATGCATCTGAATTTCCCGGCATGACTAGCACATAGCGCGGTGAGCGACTGGAGGGCGGTGATGGGGCCAGCGGGAGCGTGTGTACGACAACGGTATTGCCCATACTGACGGAAGCAAGCTTGACATATTGTGGTGGCGTCTCAGGCCTAACTGGGTTCGGTGGAGGAATGAAAGAAGAGAAGCATATCTTTGTCATGGAGAATGGATGGACGTCGTGGAGGGTAATGTAGGGTCGTAGCTTCCCGTAACCTCCTCTCCTAGGATTGTACTCAAGCGTTAGGACTTCGATAGATTGATCACTTCCCGAAACGGCAATGATGATTTGTTCCTGGTTCTCGAGATTTGAACCCAGATTGCACACGTCCAGGCCCAGCCCAATTTTGATTTCTTTGCGCAGCTTCTTATGCCGGATGATGGTTGCAGATGACTTTGATTTCGGTGATAGCCTTTGCGGTAAATCAAGAAGCACGAGCTCGCAGCCTTTACGGTCTGGTATATTCCGAAGTAGAAGCAACATTGTGGGAGATAGGAAACGCAGGGTTCGAAATTTGGGCCTGGTTTTGGTCGCTGCTTCAGACAAAGGCGTACTATATACGCAATGTACATCAGGTGATGCATTAGATCTCGCTGAAGATGAGACCTGACAGGTGTACACGTCAGTGCCATTGGTATAGGCCACCTGGTATTTGCCATCGTCCAAATCCGCAATATCTACATCCTCAGCTTCCTCATCACTATCCAATTGTATCCTTCCCATGATATCCGATGTGCTGGGTGTAGGATTAACATGAAAAAGGACGATCTCTCCTGATGGAGCTAACCCAGTTGCAACCGCCGCTATACGCGGAGACTCGGCGTCTTTCCACGGCGAGAGTCGCAATACCCTTTGATATGTGTCTGGACCGCCGGCCTTTTCTGTTCCTTTAGTGCGAAATAAAGATGTGCGAGACAATGCAGTGGTCTTCTGGGGAAATTGGTTGTCAGTTTCCCTATATGCTTCCCTATATGCTTCCCCATTTGCGACTTCTTCGGGCGAGTTATCCGTAAAAGATCTTTTTCGTGGGGGGTAATCAATCTCGAAAGATCTTAGATGTTTGTTATTGCCACGCTTTTGCTCAGCTATAGAGCTATTGATACCGGCAAAGGCGATAATAGAATCATCGCTTGCATGCGCCGTTGCCAATGAAGTAACGGAGTCTTCGTCGCGTGATAGTTCGATATCGACCACCTCGGAGATTTCGTTGCGTTTGGATGTGTCCAACAGTGCCTGTTGTTATGCCTCGAATATTAGCGCACTGTCAATAGCCGAAAGACTTTGGATTTAGAATGTAGTGACAAAGCAATCTCGAATCATTGCCCCAGAAGGGATAGGGTGGCACTTGCGATTTTGTTCCCAACACCGCTACGCCCTTCGCCGCCTCCGCCTGCGACAAGAAGAAAGCCATGATTGCGCGGGTCGAAATCAGCGGCAAAGAGAGGACAGGATAGGGTTAATTTAGCCGAAGGTACGAGGGGCGCCATGATCAGGATGGACTACTCGTCCTGGACAAGGTAAGAGTTGAGTGTGTATTCAGTAGCAAGGGAGGGAATCAAAGTTACAGGCCAAGTAAGCTACCGATGACGTTCGGCCCCCGGATTTAATATAATTCAAACCAAACCTCTTGGCAGAAAAAAAGGACTGCACCGACGTAAGAGTTTACAATAAATGGATAAGACAGTGACTTCATTCTAAAATGAAATCAAGAAGCGATGGAAATATACTAAGTAGAAATCATAATAATAGTTTTTGCCGGAGATCCGTAAAGATCTCGAACACTATTCACCTCGTTTCTAGTACATTTATAATCTAATCAACTTCTTGTCCAGTAAACTCCGGCAGCCGCTTGCGAATGTCTTCCCATGTTTCATCACCTTCCACCAAGGACTTGAGAGCCTGCAAAATCTCATCCTCGCTAGCACGGACCTGCTTAGTCGAGTCACGATCACGCAAGGTGAAGGTGTTGTCCTTCACCGACTGAAAATCAACCGTGATACCAAACGGCGTGCCAAGTTCGTCATTGCGTGCGTAACGCTTTCCAATGCTAGCCGAGGAATCGTCAACCCGGTTGGAGATGCCCATGCGCCGCATCTTCATCATCAGACGATGTGACAGAGGACGGAAAGAAGCATGATTCGAAAGAGGTACAATGAGAACCTTGGTAGGCGCAATTGCTGGCGGGAAGGACAGGACCTATAACACAAATATTAGTGGGGACCAATTCAACGTACTACTGTGAAGGTCAAGTGCTTACACCACGCGCTTCGTCCCCCTCTCGGGACCAGTACACATGTTCGAGGGTACTGTACAGGATGCGGCCAATGCCAAATGATGGCTCAATGACGTTAGGCGTGTATTCACGGACATTCTCTATCCGTGTCCGCTTCTCAATTTTGATCAATTCCTTATCCAGCTCAACTCTGCCTGAGCCAACACCCTCTACATCCACCTCGATCCTGCCTTGCTGCTCCAGATCGAGAGCCAACTTCTCACGGAATTCCTGAGAGAGCGCCTCGACGGCGGCTGCAACAGCCTTGCCATCCTTCTTAAAGCGTGGGCCGAACTTTTTCTTGTCCAAGTCGACTTGCCATTCTTCAATTTTGAGGGGTTCAACTCGAGGCTCACGGACAACAAGAGGCGCTCCGGTCTTGTTCTTGTGCACAGTCAAGTCATAAGCACTTCGGTCAGCACAGCCAACACATTCAATCCAGCCATAGCTGGTTTGCAGCTCGGCATCCCAGCAGTCAGCAGCGTAGTGAGCCATTTCATTAGCCATGTGTTGACGGAACCGGAGCTTCGCTGGGTCCACACCCAACTTGAGGAGAAAGAGTTGAATGCGGGCAAGGAAGTATCCAAGGGTTTCGTTGTCAACCAGACCGGATTCAATGGCTTTGCCGATGGTCATCTTCGTGGTTTGTGTGCTTCCAGACAGCTGCACATCACGGCTAAGCAAGGAAAGCTCGATGTCTTTCATTTCTTCGAAGCGAGAATGTTTTTTGCCGCCCTCCGGGTCTACATAGTGCTCAATCTCAGCCATGAGGAACTCGCGCACTCGCAGCAGGCCGGCACGGGGTGAGATTTCATTCCGGAACGACTTGCCAATGGAGGCCGACGCAAAGGGCATTGACTGCTGGTTGAAGTCTAACAGCTTCTGGAAATTCAGGAACTGTCCCTGAGCGGTTTCAGGACGAAGGTAGCCAGGCATATTGCTGCTAGGACCGATTGAAGTCTGGAACATCAAGTTGAATGCAACAGGAGGAAGAAGATTGCCATCGGTCGTCGGATTTCTGATATCGTACTTGGTGATGATTTGTTCCAGCTCCGGCCCGCCATAGTTGTCAATTTGCGCTAAAGTCTCCTCATACTCCTTGACGACAGCATCGTCTAACCGGACAGCCTTTGTCTCCTTAGCCTTTTTTTTCCTCTTGGCCTCTTTCTCTTCGTCCACGACAACCTTCTGGCCACGCGCTTCCTTGTCGCCTTTCAGACGAGACTCAAGAACCTCCTCTACCAGGTGATCCGCGCGGAAGATCTCGCCAGTTTTGGGGTCTTTGCACATCCAGTCGGCAAATTTCTCGACGTGTCCGCTAGTCTTGAGGATCTCATGCGGGGTCAGCATGGTACAATCAACCTCTAGCATGTCCTCCTCGAGCACGAAATGCTTCCGCCACAAATCGACAATATTGTTTATAAGAGCACAACCAGGAGGGCCGTAGTCATATAGACCGGATACCCCTCCGTAGATCTCGAAGGAGGGGGTGTAAAAAAGTCGACGGCGGAGCATCGACTCCAAGACCGTACGGTCAACGACCTGACCGGTCTTGGTATTAACGGTCGCCATGGCGGTGTTCTTCTTTTTAGAAACTTGGGCAGCTCGAAAGGTGACGGGGGAGGGTGAAAAGGATCGCGTGCCTATGGCGGGGTTCCAACGAGGAAATTGGAATTGGCGGCGGGGACGTGGAAAGAGTCGAGCGAAGGAAGAAGCCAATTGAGTCATCCACGTGAGCCGCAGCGGTCGCAGTGGAACACCACACGCGGTTGAGTGGAAATAGAATTAAGATATAAGAGATAAAAGAAAGAAGGCGGAGGAAAGAAAGTGAGAAATATATATATATAATAAACAAGCTAAAGACTGAATTGAGACTATTTTCTTTTCCCTTTCAAACGAGTCATCAACCAGGTCCTGATTATCTCCCTAATCTCCTTCGAGTCGATATCCTACCGCCGGCGAAATATTTCTCCGCCAAATTTTATCTCAAAACTACATCCATGGGTTCTCATGTCCATTTCTGAAGAGCGCCTCTGGGATTCCCGGTTTATCCCTATTCCAAGATGGTTTCCAGGAAGTCACAGGCGAAGCCTCCTCCAAGTGCTAATTTAGATGTGAAACCCGCCAATAAACTCAGGCGTCAACTTCTCCATATCAAGCGGAAGCGGCTCAAAGACTCCACTCGACGAGCAGAACGATATCGGATTAAGAAAGAAGAGGCTAAGAACCCAAAGCTCAAGAATGAGCGCCTAAAGCGTAATATTCCGCTTACTATCGATCGCAAGCGGGTCTGGGATGATGCCAATAGTGATATCGAAGACGGTCTGGGATTGAGTGTCGACGTCGAGCGCATCAAGAAACAAAAGCAGGAAGAGGAAGAGGAATGGAACAAGCCATTGGAGCTCTCTGATAAATCACAAGATGATTCCGATGACCAAGATGAGGTCGACAGCATGCTAGCCAGCAGTGACGACGACAACGACGACGAAGGAGGAGATAACGACAACGATAACGCTGAGAGGTCTCGGAAGTCTAAGAGATCGTCTCTCCCGTCCGCTACAGAGCGTGCAACAAGCCCGACTCAGTCAACCAAGAGCACAAACCTTAGCCTAGCTCCAGAGGCCCTAGCAAGCAAGTTCCCGTCGTTGTTTCCGTCTGAGACACCACCGACACCCAAGATTCTCATCACGACTTCCCTGGTAGGTTCATATATTCGCTGTTACAATCCAGGTGCAACACTCTCCACTGAGCATGTGGGAGTGCTGTAATGGTGTTCACTGGGTATCCATGTTAATCATTAGCAGAACTCAACCCTTCACAACGAAGCCAAAGCTCTTACAGATCTTTTTCCTAATAGCCAGTATATCCGCCGTACAGCGCACCGTTATTCCCACAAGTTTTCATTGAAAGAAATAGCAACGTTTGCAGCAAATCGCAATTACACCACAGTATTAGTCCTCCAGGAAGATTCCAAACGACCGTCCGGCCTCGATGTGATACACTTACCCAAGGGTCCCATGTTCCATTTTACTATTAGCAACTGGGTAGATGGCAAAAAGATCCCTGGACATGGCGTAGGCACTGAGCACTGGCCTGAATTGATTTTGAATAACTTTCGCACACCACTTGGGATTTTAACAGGTGCTATTTTCCGCTCATTATTCCCACCGCAGCCTGACATTGAGGGGCGCCAGGTTGTGACATTACACAACCAGCGTGACTACATCTTCGTCCGCAGGTAAGTTGCTCTTGTCACTCTGTTTTAGGCTTAGAGGATGTTGGGATTTTGACTGTCTCCGCAGGCATCGGTACATCTTCCGAGAGAAGCGAGAGACAGAAAAGAGCGTGGTTGACGCAGACGGAAAGGAGATGAAAGGGGCCGAGGGAATAAGGGCAGGCCTTCAGGAATTAGGGTGTGTGATCCTGTTATTCTTATTTCCCTCTCGATAGATACTAATAAACCGTCGAACAGGCCTCGGTTTACCCTGAAATTACGAAGAATCGACAAGGGCATCCAAAGGGTGAGTGGGCAGGAATGGGAATGGAAGGCTGGAATGGAAAAGCAGAGGACCAAGTTCCAGCTATGATAGCTTCAATGCCAATTCCATCTGTGTCGGTCAGAGTTATGGATAGATAAAAAAAGAAAATGACGGCAAACGGACTTTATTGGATATATTGTGAGTAGATATTAATTATACTTCGGACACCAAGCGTTTCACATATCCACCAAACGTGAAGTCCCGTATGTTATCCAATACATTCATTGATAATAGAACTCTCAGTGATGTAGTGACTCGTTGCCGCCTTTATCGTTATGGACTGAATTCAGCCATTATGCGTCTAGTGAACATACAGGGATGTTTGTATGTTTCTAGTCTTTCCCAGGCACTCAACCTCGAAGGACCAAAATTATCAGAGATTGCTTGTTCTATCTCGCTGGAGAAGATGTGCATAAGCGAAGGTGGCTCAGTCAGAACAACACAACAAATGCAGAATAGATTATTCACAGCAGAAGAAGCTGTGGCAAACGAAGATTTAGACACCAAACATAACGCCGAATTATCCATGCCAAGTCCGAAAGACATAGCCTTATAATTTGGATATCACATAAGAAAAAAGGTGATTGTAATGCAAGTCATAAGCGAACAGATATCATCCGGAGGCACGTAAATGGAACCCATATGTGTGTGAGACAAGTTCTAATGTAAATCGTAAAAGGTAAACATGGAGGGTGGGGGGGTTTAAAGCTCGTCTCAGATTTGTGCTATCACCACAGCATGCGATCTCCGGCACATCACTGTCCATTGTTCTTCTTCCAACGGAGCAATTCCGCAAGACTAGGGAGACTACAGCCAGATTTCAGGAATTCGTGAGCTAGCAGTTCTTCCGCAGTGGCACGGCTGCGGACGTCGACACACAGACACTGGCTGAGGAAGGATTTGAGCTCCTTGCTCAACTTTTCAGGCTTCTTTAGACGAGGAGTGCCATTGGTGGCAATAAGATATAGAGCTTTAAGCGGTTCCTCGTTTAGGTAAGGGGGCTCTGATTCGATCATCTCAATAGCCATAATTCCTAGTGACCAGCAGTCGACCTTAGGTCCATATTCCTTCTGTTTGACAACTTCTGGGGCCATCCAGTATGGCGTCCCAACCATCGTTGCACGCTTGCTCTTTGATTCGGTAAGTTTAGCACAGAATCCAAAATCGGCTACATTCCTTTGTTAGCGTGATATTGGACAGTTCCATACATGGGGGTTACTTACTAATCTTGACATGACCAGCGCGATCAAGAAGGACATTATCACTCTTGATATCACGGTGGATAATGTTTTGGCTATGTAAGTGTGCCAGTCCTTTGCAAGTCTAGATAGATGATTAGTATAATCTACGTGCATTTCACAGTCTCATCGCGCTGAACAGCATCAACGTACCTCTGAGCAAATGGTAGCAATCTGATCTTCCTGGATTACAGGGTTGTTGTCAATGACATCTGTGAGGGCACCACCCTCCATGAATTCCATAACAACCCAGAGCTCATTGCTTTGTTCTTGCAGGAATGAGTCAAGGAAATTGACAATATTGGCATGCTGGCTGTCTTTCATTACAATGATCTCGTTAACAATAAGCTCCTTTCGTGGCTGACTACGCAGATCCATTTGTTTGATTGCAACCTGAGTTCGAGGTCCATATTGGCGGTACAGTTCGCGGGCAACTGGAGAAACAGCATGTTCTTTAACACGGGCGACATACACAGATCCAGAAGCACCTTGTCCAATCTTACGTTGCTTACTGTAAGATTCGTTGGGATTGTCTTTAGAGACGACAGACCTAAGCCGATCCATGACTTCGTTCTCAGACATTGCCGACATGCGAACTTCCCTCTGCCGGGGCTCAGCTTTCTTAGTCAGGGCAGCTTCAGCTTGACGGACACCATCGGGAACAACGTTCTTATTAGTTGCCTGTTTGTTCGCAATATTCAGTGGCTTCACTGGCTGCACGGGAGCAGGAAGTTTGCTGGGTGGTGGCCCCTGAGCCTGCTGTTTGGTACCATTGTTCTGAGCGCGCGCCGCAGAGGACTGTGCTCGCGGATCATGTGCAGGGTAACGCGAGCTTGGAGAAGATTGGTCTGATCCCGGAGCACGTGCAATTCCGGGGCCGTTGGCCGATATATACTCCCCCGGCCGTTGTCCCTGGTTGGAGTTAGTCGGAGGGGCTGGCGCTGGGCGCTGAGCAGTGAGCTGGCGTGCAGAGTCTTGTCGAGCCGAGCCAGGAGCCTGCGGGGCGGGACGGCCTGGTTTGTAGCGGTCGTTCATCGACGGATCGGCGCCATAGCCACCGAGCTCCTGTTTAGCCAGAGGGACGCGAGTCTTTGGAAGCGAGGCGTTGTACGCTTCTTGATCGAGCCTATTTTGCTCTTCTTCACGTTGACGAGCACGGCGACCTTCTTCCTCCATGCGTCGACGCTCCTGGTCCGCCATCTCCTTCATCCTCTCCAGCTGTTGCTGCTGTTCCAAAGCACGATCTGAGTCTGATTTGCTGTGCGCCTGTGAGGGTGATGAACCAGCGGAACGGTTGGAATGACCACTGTCTAAGCGTTGAGATGGGGCTGGGGGCGGCGGTCTTGGAGGAGCAATAGAATTGCCAACCGTGTTGCTGTTGTAAGTTTTTGGTTGCTGGTTTGACTGGGGAGAGGCTAATCCGGCATAATACTGTGGGTTCTGTTCGCGCATCTTTATATCAGAGTAAAACTCGAGAACTTCGATGACGGCTTGGGGGTTCTTCTTATAGTCTTCTTTGGTGATAGCGACGCAGTCAGCAGCTTCTCCCACTCAGGCGGTAATCCCACAAAGGCGCCGGTCCGCGGGTCGAAACCGACGTGAACGCGGTGGCTAAAGTTGGTCGGATTGCTTACGCCTCCCATTCCCGGGCAGCGCTCGTAGATCTTGTCAATCCAGTCATAGATCTCGTCATCACTCTTGACCTCACAGGTAATGCTCTTAGTTGGCACGTCGCGTGTGATCAGGGCAGCCTTAGAGGTGGCATCTTTCGGATTGGCCAAACGAATAACTTCGAAGGCCATCCGAGTGTCTTCGGAACGGGAGACAGCGGTGACCGTCTGAAGCGGGATAGACAAGACTACCCTACCCGTCTCATTCTTCAAGAAGTCCAATCGAAATTCTCGAAGTATCAAATATCGCTGGTTCCAGGTAGCCAGAAATTTGTCTTCCTTGCAACGAACATATCCTTCTTTGATGACGGCTACCCCTCCCTGTCCCGACTGGTTGGTTTTTGTTTGTGTGAGAGACGGGGTGCTAGTATTCGGGAATAATGATAAGTTGGCGGACCCTGGCGTGCTGGGGGAATCTAGGCTCATTTGGCTGAAGGAGGCGACCGTATTTGAGGAGTTAGAAGGCAGGTTAAGCTTCGGACGCTCGGCCGGTGGGCGCGGTGCTGGCCCAGGATTCATGAACTGGTCGGGAGAGTACATCCTGTGTCGCCATCAGTTACTTTTCAAAGGCCCCAATATCTTTCGGATGATATAAAAATAAGGACAAACGCCATCAGTATATGCCGTAACAAATATACAATGGCTGCTAGACAGTAGTGATAAATAAGAGCAACGCCGACATACTTTCCATAAGTTGAGGCGAGAAGCGCGCTGGCTCCAGAAGTAACTTCTTGCTTCACGGCGGGTACGAGGGGTGTCCGTTGATGGTTCGGTTGTTTGTAAGTACTGTATATTGTCAGGGACAGAGTCCAACTTCTCAAGACTGGCGCTTCAAGCCCCATGAGTCCCAAACCTAGAAGGTCTGGTGCGCAGCATCCGGGAATCCTACAACAATAGGAGTCGATCCGCCAGCAAAACAGTGGGGTAGAACTCAGTCGAGATGGGGAGAGTATTGCCAGGTTATTTTTCTTTCATTTTTCTTCTTTAATGATGCTTTGGACAAGAGAGACCCTACCTGACAATACCTTTGGCTTTGGAAGAACCGAAAGGTCTCCTCGCACCAGCGAGTATGAGCGAGCGCAAAGGTCTCGGGGTACTTTGACCCTTCAGAACGCGGTGAGACGACTCGCCAATGCAAAAGCGACAAGAGTAAGGGACCTATGTGAGAAAAGGTACTTTCCTGTGGGAAAATAGTGAAGAGAATAAGAATGTGCAATATCAACAATGCATAGGAAAGAAGAGAAGAGCGTGGAAGGGAGAGAAAACGAAGTAGCAGGCGAGGGGTGGGGATCCAAGGAGAACGGAGAGAGGGGGGAAAGAAAGGAAAGGGAAATCGTAAATGAGGTTTCACTAACAGCGGGAGCCCATCGCAAGTCAAGGGGCGCGGCACTTGTCACAGGAAAAGCGCTCAGACTTCGAGAGCGGTAACGGTTGCAAAGAGCGCTCTAGGATCTAGTAAGATATGATATAATAACGGTTCTTCGATATCTTCATTTACTCTCCTTTGCATTCTTGCTTTAGCTGGAGATTGAAAATGATCCAAGGGTTTCTCATAATTGAATGAATATGCTTGTTACGCTACTTTATTTCTACCGTAGTCACATCATATTCAGGGCCCCTGGCTAACAGCCAAAGGCTAGATTTTTAGGGGTTTCAGGTACATAAAAGGAAGATAATATCCATCAGACAGCGAATTTGTATCGGAGGTGGAGCGGCCACGTTCAATACTTAGACCTTTAGATTAAGTGAGGAAAGGTTGTACTAGGAGGAGAATAAGGCACTTTTTTCTGACAAAAAGATAGGGTAGTCTGCAGTAAGTGGCGTAGAGTTGTTGCTACCCAAGTAGATTGGGAGACACAGTTGCAGGTGGACTGACGGTGTGAATCACATAAATAACGGGACTGGACCAAAAAACCCAGTTCCTTGAAGCAAAGACGACTACGATGAAGGCTAAAAATGTAACTATCCTAAGCATGCTCGGCAATCTCATGTGCCCCCTAGCTTATGTAATTAGTAGGCATTGACACTTTTATAAACAATTGTACACGGAAGATATCCTAAGTTGGGTCTCTGGAGCGTCTGTGTCTGTTCAAATCTCCTGCCACTGTTTGGATGTACCCAGTTGCTATCCCTTAAACCAATCACACCAATGTGTGTACTCCTAATCTTCTCCAAAGATAAAACTCCGGCCCACGGGTTGTCGTTCCATAGATCCAAGAACTCGGGTGGTCCACTCGCCTGATACAAGCAACCTCCTTTTTTGTTTCGCTCTCTATAATCCATAAATTTACCGCCAATTAAAAACGAATCAACTGTACGCATGACAACCCCCGGAGTATAGCAGTGATACCTAGTAGGTCATATACTAGACAATCTACCAGCTAACATAGAGATAGGCTTGTCACAATTGAGACCGCCCGGGGAGTCGTTCGCTGGTAATAGATGGTTGAGTAAATAAACTTTTAAGCGTTCATATAAGTTAGAATATGGATGATCCTCTGTCGGTTCATCATGGTTCTTCGCCGAAGGGGTAGTTAAATTTGAGCTGCCCATTCAAACCGCCAACCCATCCATCATGCGCCTCACCACCCATGATTCTCCTCATCACACATGGTACTCCTCCCTGCCATTCGTTTTTGCCGTGCCGCATCTCTTCGTTCCATACTCGGACCTCCATACCAACAGCCATTCCCTGACCCATGTTGACCCCGTCAATACTCATCTCTAATTCACGACCCCGGTTCTTTTCACTCAGTTTCAGCGTAATCGACGTGCTGGATGGTAAAACCAAAGGCCGGAAACTCAGACTCCGGGCGCAGATTGGAGTTAGTAGAACCGAAGGCACCAAGGGATGCACAATACTACCACCACTACTCAAGCTGTATGCGGTACTACCCGTGGGCGTCGAGATAATGATCCCATCCGCTACTGCCTCTGTAAGGAATCGTCCTCCGACATAAACATCCACCACCGCAAGATGCGGCTCCTTGCCACGATGGAGAAGCACTTCGTTCATTACATACACTCCCTGGCTGCTCAACGTATTCTGTATGGAAGTCGGGCTTCGGTCTTGCCGAACAGGTCTCCCGTCTGCAGTGAAAAGCCCAACTTTTAAGCGGTTTCGCATCAAAATGCGAGCTCCGCGACTCGAGCCCATTGATTTCCCACGGATCGACGACCATCCCGTAGGACCTGTCTGAAAATCTGCTTGATAATCTGTGGCAGTACACCTCGACGCTTCTAACATAGGAGCTCGGTCCCCTGCTCCCGCACCAGACATGTATACCTCACGAAATGCGCGTTTGTACTCCTCGAACTTCCACTCGCTTAAAAACCCTAGTGTACCCATGCTGAATGAAAGCACCGGGGGTACATTGTAACATGTAGCGAACAAGGAAGAAGCATGCAAAATAGTTCCATCCCCTCCAAGAGTGACCGTAAGGTCCGCTTTACTATGTAACCCCGAGGCTAGCCTGCTCAATGGAGCTGAATAGATAGGAAAAGGAAAGTTTGAATGCACTTCTTCGGCAGTCTTTGGCTCTAGAATCAGGGCAATAGATGGATATGTAGATGTTAGATGACTAGACAAAAAGCTGTCAGTTGTGTTCTCCAAGGTATCAAGGTGGCTCCAATACTTTGCAAATTCAATTAGCGATTCTGTTACTGTTGGCACGCAATCCTTTTTCACAACAAAGACATTTCGAGGGGGTGCTGGCCATTGAAGAGAAAGGAGATCGCCCTCCCAGGATTCTGGGACAAAGAATTAGCAAGACATAGTCTAGTGTCACATTGTTTCACATTATCTCAAGAGGCGGAAGCGGTTTTGCAGTTTGCAGAGACGCACACCTTCGTATTTAGGTAATAAACGCTGAGGTAACATCTCTATATCTCTGATTTCACAGCGGCGAAGAGAGGATGAAAAAGGTCGCTTCCATGGTGTGTACTTGGTTATGCTAATCATGGAACGAAATGGTTGCGTTCGAAGAATAGTCGCTTGCATATTGAAGGAGTGAGCAGCTCAAAATAAGGCTTGACACAGAGATTAGCGATGTAAACAACAACTATTTTCATTGATCTAAAAAAGCTCACTTGTATTTTTCTTCTTTCATCTTCCGAGCTCAACTTCTGTGGGACAACACTGATGTGAAGCATGGAATCATTCCCGGAAGAAGTACATTTATCGAAACTTCGAATTTGTATTACCGTTCCCGCTAAAGAAGAAGGGAAAGAGAGCGTGTGAATGAACGAAGGTTGCTCCGGATCTTTGATGAGGCGAAGGATAAGGTACTAGTAGTCTCCAGAATGATCTACTCCGGAGCTGAAGCGTCTGACCGCCCTGAGAGCCTGACGTACGAGGGAGAGAACGTCATTAAACCGGCAAGTGCCTTGCCTGTGGACTACTAGTAGTTAGTACTATTAGTCTATTACTAGTATTTAACAGCAGTGGACGTCTTGGCTTTCGGGTTCACAAGATCCCCTCCTGCCAATCGTTGCGGTCAGGCGTTATCTCGTACCTAGTACCTTAGCTCCTACGTACCGTTCCATTCTCTCTTATGAAATTTATCTTTCACTTCATCCTACATGCATTATATAGAGGATATCCTCTGATCTTCTTGTTTTGCTTTGCGGCTCTGGGCATGGCCTGAACTGATAGGCATCAAACTAGAAAATTTCCCTTGCTCGCCCGACGTGGTGAGAGATTCTTCAAACAGAGCTTTCGCTCAAGTACGGGCTGCCTTCCCTCTTATGCAACTGCTCGACTAATTTCTAGCTGCGTGATCGTCTGGTTTAGGATAAATTGTCACTGCAACAAAGCGTCTCGTCTACCAGCTCAACAGAATCAGGTGCTCTTTTGGCCACTAGCAATCCAAAATGATGGGTGGCCCTAACCCTGACCTTCACCAGCAAAAAGAGAACCCAACCTGGCAACGTATAGGGAGCACGAGTCAAGATTCTCAAGCTGACAATGGCATGGAACCACAGCTTAAACATGGGATCCCGATGCAGGTGCTTCGATCCCTCTTGCTTGCAACATGGTTCAACTGCTGTTGTGTCGTCATCCTAGTGACTCAGGTGATCGGTGCTCCTCTTTATCTAATAAGCAAGGATTATTATTATGCATATATGGCATACACGAAGCAGTCTTTCGGTTTGGTCATCACAGCTCTCACACAATGGGGCTGTCCGACATTTGTTCGCGTTAGTGGTGATAAGAGTGTACAAGGGCAAATTCACCTGACAGAAGACGGCCGGTTGAAAACTGAATTTCCCGAGCGCTTGGTATTGATTGCTAATCACCAGGTCTATACCGATTGGATTTACCTGTGGTGGGTTGCGTATACGAACATGATGCATGGCCGCATTTTCATCATCCTCAAAGAGTCTCTCAAGTACATCCCAATTGTTGGCCAAGGTATGACGTTCTACGGCTTTATTTTCATGGCTCGCAAATGGCTATCCGACAAACCCCGGCTACAGCATCGCTTGGAGAAGTTGAAAACCCGGCATTCAGGCTCCAAGTCGGAATCGTCTGAATACGACCCCATGTGGCTGTTAATCTTTCCTGAAGGGACAAATTTGTCAATTAACACTAAGAGGCGTAGTGACGAGTATGGGCAAAGGCAAGGGTTTCCACCTCTAAAGCACGAGGTTCTCCCGCGGTCGACCGGTCTTTTTTTTTGCCTACAGCAATTGAGGGGTACTGTTGATTGGGTGTACGACTGCACCGTAGCCTATGAAGGACCTCCGTAAGTCCCCATGTCTGTTAAATTGTCATTGAAAAAAGAGAAAAACCCACGACTAACTTCTGTGGTAGAAAAGGAAGCTATCCCGATAAATACTTCACGCTCCGATCAACATATCTTCAGGGAAGACCCCCAACATCCGTCAATATGTACTGGCGACGGTTTGCTGTATCAGACATACCCTTAGATGACCAGAAGGAATTCGATGCCTGGCTTAGGGCCCGATGGGCGGAGAAGGATCAGCTGCTTGAGGAATATTTTGAGACGGGAAGGTTTCCGTCTAATTTAGCGGGCTTTATTAACGATGTGGACGTTTCCGAAGGTCTAAAAGCTGCCGCTGCCGCTGGATATGTGGAAGTATTTGTTAGACTGGGACAATGGAGTGAAATCGGGCGTATATTTATGGTATTAGTAGGTGCTGCCCTTCTGTGCAAAGTGCCAAAACTCTTCGGTTTTTGATAAGACTTTGCCTTTTATATTGTCTTAGATTAGCTATTCTTACTTATGTTTATGAGAGATGCGTTTAGAGAATGATAGTGTTTGTAAAGGATTTCACTTTCCCTCTCCCAATCTGCTTTGATGTACGATGTAGGTTGACAATGCAAGCTCACTTGTTTCTTTCCTAACTTTTTTTTGATTGTAGGAATTTCGTAAGATATTGGAGCCACATGTGGCGGTGGAGCTCCAGCCTCAGCACGGACTCCAGCCTCAGGTTCCGACCCTTTCAATCTATTGACACCCGCACCAAGTAGAGAGCTCAACACTGCAGGTTTTGTCGTCTCGAGTTGCTGCTGTAAATTTAGAACGCTCTTCCTGCTCGAGGTCTCAGCAGGGGGGTGTGTTTCTCATTTTCATTGGCAATCCTTTCATATAGTACGATCATGAGCTGAGCCTTGCAACGATCTCTACTCCAGACATCCACCACACCACGTTCAAAGGAATACCTCTCACGCGCCATGGCGTCCCTACGAAGTGAACACACCAATGGCATAAACGGCGAAACACATTCCACGGCTAAATCACTCCGGTTTTCGGACATTCCTTCTGCCATTGATATTCCTGCATCCACCCTCGACAGCGAGGTCGAGGTCAGTCTGGAAGGTCTTCCGGACGATCCTACGGAGCTCTGTACTCTACTGGAGAATGAAAGGGCCGCAAAAAATTTTTGGGTTATTATCGCGCTCGCTTATGCCAAACAAAAGCAAATCGACCATGCTATTGACATCCTCAACAAAGGGTTGGCATCAGTCGCCCATGGAGCGACGAAGGAGAAGCTCGGCTTGCTGGGCTGGGTATGCTGGCTGCTTATGTTGAAGAGCCGACAAGCGCCCCGAGTGGCACCCGAAGGGGAGTTGTATGCTGAGGCCAAAACAAAGGACCATTACCTACAGCTGGCGACGTCGACATTAAACGAGGCATCTCGCCTGAACCCAGCTTTCCCGCCCCTGTTTCTAGCCCGCGGAGTGCTGTCCCTTTTGCGCGCATCGTTGCATCCCCCGAGGCCAGTTCGTCCTGGTACAGTTGACACGTCCGAACGAGTTGAGTCTCTTAGACAGGCGCTTAAATGCTTCGAGGAGTCGTCAAAAGCCTTCGGGGGTCGAAATGTGATGGCTATCCTTGGTCGCGCAAGGACACAGTATATGCTTGGAAGATATGCAGAGGCACTGGAGGGTTACCAGAAGGTTTTGATGAAGATGCCTGGTTTAACAGATCCTGATCCTCGCATTGGTATTGGGTGCTGCCTGTGGCACCTGGGCTTTAAAGACCAGGCGAAAGCTGCGTGGGAGCGAGCTCTGGCATTGGTACGTGGATCCTGCAATATTATCTTTTTAATGCCAGATGCTAATCGCCTATACGCTCTGTAGAACCCTGACTCCAAAGTTGCCAATATTCTACTCGCCGTCTACTACCTTTACGATAGTTCCCGACACGCCACGACTGATCCTGCGTTTGGCTCTTTGTATAAGGTGGCTATGACCCAGTACACACAAAAAGCTTTCAAATTGGACAAAGAATACCCCATGACGGGCGCTTTGTTTGGGGGGTATTTTCTTCTGAGGAAATCATACTCTACGGTTGAAACCTTAGCACGGAAAGCGATCGAGCACACGGACGTGATGCAAATAGCTAGCGATGGTTGGTTCCTGCTCGGTCGCAAGGCGCATTATGAAGGCGACCTTCCCCGTGCTGCAGAGTTCTATAACCGCTCTGATCAAGCTCGAGGTGGCGGTGATAAGGGGTATTTGCCTGCCAGGTTCGGCACGATACAGATGCAAGTGTCTAATAAAGATTACGATGGTGCCAAATTTCGACTGGAGAAGATTATACAGCAAACCAAGAACCCAGAATGCATGATACTTCTCGGAGCGCTTTATGCGGAGGAGGTCTTTGCTACTGAGAAGGTTGGTAGCCGGGAAGACAAGTCAGCCGAAGCTAAAAAGGCGATCAGTCTCCTAGAATCGGTTCGTGCCCTCTGGAAGGACGAAGGCAGGAAACTCTCCCCTGATGAGTCAGTTTTGGTGTATTTGGCTCGCTTGTATGAGCGTACAGCCCCGGAGAAGAGCATGCAGTGCCTGTCCCAGCTCGAGGAATTGCAATTGACAGC